ACAGAGTCAGTAGTTTTGGTCCATACATATATGTAGGCTTGAGTAATCTGGATAAAGCCAGACTAGTACAGGTATACATGTATATAGATTAGTCATTGAACATAAATGCAGCACCACCATTGCAAAAATATACATGTAAACCTTAAAAAGTGGATAAATAAGGAAATATTAATGCACCGTAAATTCCTTATTGATCCTATATAATACACATTTTAACCTTGTATATAAGACCATATATTCCTGTCAACACACTACAGGGCATCCAACACACCACAAACAAATGTGGAAATAAGAGGTGAGAAATAAGGTTTGGACGGTACACAATTCCCTGAGAACAGTGCAGACAGTCCCAAAAAATGATTCAAATGCAGCCATTATTTGTATTTTTCCATCAAAAGTGCATATGCAGCAGTATTATCCAACCCGCTGTTCTCAGATGTCACTAGACACACCAGGTAATGAACTAACCTGCCCGGCAGCGTCTAGAGGGCAGGTCGGCCACTTGGTACCAACGATCTTCCTGGAAGTCGTAACACTCCACGCTGCGGATGGCTTTGGGAGCCTGACCACCCACTACAATCATCACCTGCACGTCCACACAGACCCACAGTAAGAAAATACAAGCGCACACGTGTGTTTCATGTTTAAAACCTTCAGCTTTGGCACATTTCTGCGTGTACCTTTGGGATGCTGATCGGAGTTCGTGGTCGCGTCCTATCAGTCTTTATGAGGTGACGCTGGTCAGCAGGCAACAGGTGATACTTCATTGCTTCTATGAGGAAATCTTTACAAGTGTTGTTGTTCTTTATCAAAGCTTCTTCCTCTACAATCTGAAACAGGGATCAGATTTCATTCAAGATGAAGATACAGTAGATTATTGTTGAGTACTCAGCCTTTCAGTTTCTGGAGGCATTTCTAAATGTAATAACTCCTTTCATCAAGTCCCTCTGTTGTTGCAATACCCGTTTAAAATGTGGCAACAGTGGCAGAGACATGAACACTACAGGTGGGAGGAGAGAGAAAATAATTACGTGGGAAACCGGTTTCTTGTGTGTGACTTGAGCAAAAAAAAAAAATCAGTGCTGCTGAAAGATTTGCATGTAGGCACACTAATTGTGGCAGCTGGCCCACAAACATGATGACTAATGTACTGCACAAAGATGAACAAACTGATTTATTTCAACATCAACTCCTCTTAACATACTGTGATGAAAACCATTTGTAGCTGTGGGAGTGACTTTGTTATCCAACCTAAAGGCCAGAAACTAGTCGAATATCTTAGTAGAGCAGCGATTCCCAACTGGGACGAGCCATCGAGGTACAGGAAGGTAGGTTTATTGTATATCACATTAACAGCGGGGCTCTCAAAAGTAAAGCGGATTGAGAAACTAAACAAGCAAATCATTAAAAATCAAATCAAGGACAACATAATGAAGGAAATGCTTGATACACTTGTGTGAGGGTCAAAGTTGTGGGTTGGCCAGAGGAGATTTTTAGATCACACAATGAGCGATAGCAGTCTTAGGTTTAAAAAGGCTCTTTTGAATATTCAATTCTATCTGATGGCTGACTGAAAGCCATGATTAGCCCGTCACCTGTTGGTCAAAGACCGATAATGTTTAAACAGAATCCGTTTTACCTGCACCAGGTAATCTCTGGAAAGCAGTGGAAGTCTCACATGCTCCATTAGTTTGGGCATGTATTCCAGACGAGCTGGTTTATCATGTTTGATCCACGATATCATCGCCTCGAACACCT